TCCATCATTTAAAAATAAACCAAAAAAAAAAGCCTTTAAAAATCAAGAGCTAAGGGGGCAGCAGGTAGTGTGGTGGTTAGGGGTGCTTGACTTCCAACATGGTTGACCACAGTTTGAGCTCTGGACCTGGTGGCTTCCTTTTTTGCTTTCCCTCTCTGACTTGAAAAACTGGAAAATAATAATGATAAATAAAGTTAAATCATTATTAAAAAAAATAAAGAGCTAATAAATATCTTCCTAGTTTTAGTAGAAATAAAAGCTTTGTGTTATGCCATAGCATGGCAACAACCTAAGTGTTCATCAAGAGACTAGTGGATAAAAAAATTATGGTGTACATATACATAATGGAACATTATTCAGCCCTAAGGTAAAGGAAATTCCACCATTTGCAACATTGCAGTTGAACTATGAACCTGGAAGATATTATTAGTGAAATAGGCCATACAAAAAGAAACATTGCATATTAGCTATCTGTATAATCTAAAACAGTCAAACTTAAGAGAAACAGTAGAATCATAGTTGCTAGGGTAGAGAAGATGGAGGGAGAGACTTTAGTCAGAAGATACAAACTTTCAGTGATAAAATAATAAATTCCAGGTACTTAATGTAGCATGATAATTGTAGTTAGTAGTAATGTCTGAGGAGACCTCAAAAAGCTCATGGAAAAAAATGGAATATGAGTTTATTTTCTTGTGAAAAAAGACCTGACATCTACACTGTTTTTCCTAAGAAGTATTTTCAAGGAATTTTTTGAAGACTCCCTTTATATTGTGTACTTGAAATTTGCTAAGGTAGTAGATCTTAGGTGTTTTCATTATCAAAAAGAAAAAAAATTATGTCAAGTGACAATATGTTACTTACCTCAAACCTGATTGTGGAAATCATTACACAAAGTATACTTATAATATTATACACCTTAGGCTATATCTTTTAAGCATATAAACATTTGACCCCTTCTAAAAAGTAGCTACAGGTAATATCCCATTTTGTATGTTGAAAGTTAAATGAGTATGGAACATCAGTTTATGCAGTATGAGATGCAAATTATTCTGCTAGCTCAAAAGAGTTTAATTTTTAAAAAGTAATGCAGTTTGACACAGTAACTATTAACTACAACTGTCCAATGAACTTAGTATTCTGGAAGGTAAATCTCTCAGTAACTTTTTTTTAATTATTCAATATTATACAGAATTAGAGATTGTTGTGATTTTTAATCAATTTGACATCCTGATTAGAATAAGAACAGAGAGAATGAAGCTTTATAAACATTGCAATATTACTACATCATTGGCATATGGCTTTACATTGATTGTACATAGAGAAAAAAATAATATTAGAATTAAGGCAACAACAACATGTGCAAACCAAGCACATTACCCTGACAAAGTCCTCAGTAAAAAGCTCTTTTGGTTAGGTGATGGCTGATATTGCTGCATGCAGGTCAGTCACTGCTTTGAAAGGTAAGGTATAAACAGCTTCATTCGCTTAAAAAAAAAATTCTTCCTACTGGCCCACAATGGCCAAAAGAAGTCTTCGGTAATCTCCACTTGTGTCACTTGCAATCATTGTGCCCAGGGTCTTCTGATACATCTGACAGAACATCTGCTTTATTTGTACAAGATCAATCTGTGTAAGAAATAATATTTGCGATATTAGGGGGAAAAAAAACTCACAACTGGTATTTGTAATCCTTTTTAAGTAGTAATATTTTTTAAATGATTATTTATTTAATTTTATTTATTCATTCATTCAATTTGACCAGAGACAGAGATGGAAAGTGAGAAAGCAAGCCATCAGGTATGGGACTCGAATCGTGGTTGGCCATGTGGGAGTGTCCAGCACCTTAACCACCACACCACCTGCTGGTCCCAGTAGTAATAAGATCTTAATAGTCAAAACACAATGTGTATGATAATTTCTTTGACTGGATTACCATAAGGGTATTCATGCTGGGAAAGTTCATTTTCAATGATGTAAAGATACGCAGTGACTGAATGTAAAAAATAAAAAACTTAAATTTCATTTCATTTAAAAAAAAAAAGGGAAAAATATAGTCAAAACAGAAGGGGAAAATACCAAGTGACTGACATTTATAGCTACCATTATGCCATAACTACCTTACAAAGGTCTGATTCAATGCTCTGTAAAATACTAGATAAAGGTAGTATTTTTTTTTCTATTTGTTTTTTTTTCTTTTTGGAGAGGTTTTTGCTATAGGGTACGTGCGCTTGCCAGACAGAGACAGACATAGAGACAGAAAGCGAAAAATCACTCCCCAGGGGGGTTGGCCACCCTGCAATCCCTTCTCCTCCATTCTCCTCTCGGGATCTTGGGCACGCAAGCACAGGCGCCTGGCGTGAGTTTTAAGCCACCGGGTCCGGGACTCGAACCGCGGTCGACTACATGGGAGTCCAGTGACATAGCCATTACGCTAACTGCTGGTTCCCTGGATAAAGGTTAGTATTAATTGGGGCCAGCAGGTGGCACGGTGGTTAAGGGCGCTGGACTCCCACATGGCCAACTGCGGTTCAAGAACAAACCTGGCGGCTTGTTCTCCCACTCCCTCTCTGTCTCTGTCTCTGTCTCTCTCTCTGGCCAAATTAAAAAAAAAAAAAAAAAAAAAGTAAACAAAGTTAAATAATTCTTTTTAAAAAAAGTAGTATTGGGAACCAGCAGTTAGCGTAATGGCTATGTCGCTGGACTCCCATGTAGTCGACCGCGGTTCGAGTCCCGGACCCGGTGGCTTAAAACTCACGCCGGGCGCGCGTGCGTACGTGCCCAAGATCCCGAGAGGAGAATGGAGGAGAAGGGATTGCGGCGTGACCATCCCCCCTGGGGGGTGATTTCTCGCTTTCTGTCTCTATGTCTCTCTCTGTCTGTCTGGCGAGCGCACGCGCCCTACAGTGACAATCTCTCCAAAAAAAAAAAAAGTAGTATTAATTTCATCTATTGTTCCAAAGGTATCAGTCGTTTAAAAAGTACTGGATAGGGAGATATGCCACGGCTTCAGTAGCGAGTGCATTTCCTGCGGGGCCTGAGCTGTGCTAGCACCTCCCCCAGGAGACCACTGCTGTCAACCAGTCCATTACACGGTAACCACGTGCAACCAAAAGGCTGTGATCAAAAATGCAGACATGTTGGGGGACCAGCAGTCAGCATAATAGCTATGTCGCTGGATTCCCACGTAGTCGACCGCGGTTCATGTCCCAGATCCAGTGGCTTAAAACTCACGCCGGGCGAATGTGCGTGTGTGCCCAAGATCCTGAGAGGAGAACGGAGAAGGGATTATGGCATGGCCATCCCCTCTGGGGGGTGATTTCTCGCTGTCTCTCTGTCTGTCTGGCGAGCACACACGCTCTATAGCAAAAACCTCTCCCAAAAAAAAGGGTAAAAAAATAAAAAAAGTGCAGACATGTTGGAAGAGATGCAACAGGAGTCAGTGGAGTGCGTGACTCAGGCGTTGAAGAAATATAATATAGAAAAGGACACTGCAGCCCATATCAAGGAGTTTGACAAGTGCAACCCCACCTGGCCTTGGATCACGGGGAGGAACTTTACTTACATGACACAAGAAACCAAACGCTTTATCTACTTCTACCTGACCAAGTGGCCATTCTTCTGTTTAAACCTGGTTAAAAGCATGGACTGTGCCACACACCCAGCGATCTATCCAAAAACAAGGACTACAGCCTAAATTCCAAATACTAGAGACTGAAGTCTCCAGCTTTGCTAAGGGAACATCTCAATCTTTGAAAATTTATTGTGTTTTGCACAGGGCATTCTCCGTACTAGTTTGTTGTGGTTATAAAACAATTAGCAAAATAGCTTACATTTGCATTTATTTTCTATTCCATACTTCTCTGCCAATGTTTTCTTACTCTCAAAACCCTTCCTTTAAAAAAATAAATACATTTTTAAAAAGTACTGTATAGGATGACTATTACCAAAAACAGAAAATAGTAAGTGTTTGTGAGAATAAAAGAAATGGGAATGCTTATGCACTACTGGTAAAAACAGAAAATGGCAGTGTGGTGATTCCTTAAAAACCCACAAAAGTACAAGTGCAGCTGGGAACCAGCAGTTAGCATAATGGCTATGTCACTGGACTCCCACGTAGTCGACCGCGGTTCGCATCCTGGACCCGGTGGCTTAAAACTCACGCCAAGCGCGTGTGCGTGCGTGCCCAAGATCCCGAGAAGAGAATGGAGGAGAAGGGATTGCGGCGTGACCATCCCCCCTGGGGGGTGATTTCTCACTTTCTGTCTCTATGTCTCTCTCTGTCTGTCTGGTGAGTGCACACGCCCTATAGCGAAAATCACTCCAAAAAAATAAAAAAGTACAAGTGCAGCCTATCACACAGCTGGTTGACACTGCTACTTAGTAGGCTGAAGACACATTAGAGGCTTGGGCTCAATTCCCAACCCTCCCTAAAAAGTCAGGCACAATGGCTTATGCCTGTAGTCCCAGTTACTCAGGAGAATGGGATGATATAGCAAGACCCTTTTTCTTTTTAAAAATTTTAATAATAATTTTTTTATTAACTTTATTTTTAATTTGACCAGAGAGGGACAGAGTGAGTGAGAGAGAGAGAAAGGGAAAGTGAGAAAGCAAGCCACCAGGTCCAGGACTCGAAACAAGGTTGGTCATGTGGGAATGTACAGTGCCTTAACCATCATACCACCTGCTAGCCCTGCAAGATCCTTTCTTATAAAAAGTTTTAATAAAAACCATAGGATTGCAATTTATAATATGATCCAACAATTATACTTCTGGGTAGAACCCAAAAGCAGTGAAAGCAGGGAACTGAACAGATGTTTATATAGCCATGTTATAAGCAGTATTATTCATAGTAGCCAAAGGTGGAAGAAGCCCAAGTGTCCAACAATAGAGTAATACATAAGCAAAATGTAGTATATACATGAGGACCAGCAGGTGGCATGGTGGTTAAGGTGCTGGACACTCCCACATAGCCAACCATAGTTCGAGTCCCATACCTGGTGTCTTGCTTTCTCACTTTCCCATTCTCTCTTGTGTGTGTCTCTCAACAGTCAAATTGAAATAAATGAATAAAATTAAATAATCTTTAAAAAAGTAGTATATGCATACAATGGAATATTATTTAACCTTTAAAGGGAAAAGAATATTGATACCTTCTACAGTATTATTAAATTTGCAGACTCTGTCCTAAGTGAAAACCAGAATACTAAATGATTCTATTTATATGAGGTATCTAACAAAGTCAAACATACAGACAGAAAGTTGCATGGTGGTTGCCAGGGGTTGGGAAAGAAGAGAATGTGTTATTGTTTAATGAACATGAACTTGCCATTGTGCAAGATGAAAAAATTTCTGGAAGTAGATGTTGATAATAGACACACAACAATGTGAATGCAGCAAAATCCTGACGAAATGGAGAAGAGATTGTGGCATGACCATGCCCCAATTGGGGAGGCTTTCTTGCTTTCTTCCTCTCTCTCTCTCTCTCTCTCTCGTGAGAGCATATGCTCTCTGGCAATCAATTAATCAATCCAAAGCAAGTAAGACCAGACAAAAGGAGAAAGTCTTGCCTCACCTCACTTCTAGTGACCACAATTCTGACCAGGGTGGAGTCATCTGTGCCAGCACCTTTCATGGAATAGTAGAGCCTCTCAGCAAAGAAAGCAGGGCGGTTCAGGGCACATTGCACTGCAAGTCAGAGATACTTCAGACATCGAATCATGACTTAACACAACAAGCAAATCCACCTTCCAGCTTCATTTATTGCTCTAGCCTGCTTCTGATTGTTTTTAATGTAATCATGTCAGAAATCTGAGGTGATTTAGAGATGATATCCCCCCTTGATTTTTCTCACCATCCATCTTTCTTTCTAGTTGTACCAGACAGGCTACCTTCAATTCTAGAAGATTCCTCCTGGCCAATAAATCCTATTGTCTCTTATGACAAAGATTAAGTATTTTTCCTTTTACAGTGTGAAAATCTATAGCAACTCTGACCTAGTAATACCTTACTAAAAGGAATAAAGACAAAAATCTTAATTCTAGAAGTAAAGAAGATCATTTGGCTGAGAGGATATAAGATATACTCTAATTTAGAAAGAGAAAACATTTTTGAGCCGAAATTTCAAAACTATGCTCAAAAATCTGACAGGTTTTCTCTCTGAAAAATTCACTTGGCACAATTTCCTCTTGCAGATGGTAGAGATATACTAACTGTACTTATTACTTTAGCGACAATTACTATGGTAATATTTCTAATACATTCCATTGCTAACACCAACGTGTTACCAACTCCTACAGTCTGGTATGTTCCATGGGAACAAGATTTTTCATTTCATTACACACTTGGGTGTTAGACCACCAGAAATTGGTTAATTTCAAAAGGGAAAAGAATCTCATTGAGCTGAGTACTTGAAAGATGTGTTTTGGGAACGCAAAAGGATATTTTGTGGAGGTGCTAGCAGTTCCTCAGACTTTTTCAAGTGCTACTGTCCATTGGATATTCTTATATAATCCTCAAGAAAGACATATAGATGAGGGCCAAATAATCCCCAAACAGCCTTATTTGATCACATCATCATCTACTCACAGGAGATTACATATAAAAAAACATAGGATTATCTCAGTTTCTCCTTTAAGGGAGCCTGTACTAATCGTTACTTTAATGGGAACAACTCAGAGCCCCCGCTCATTTCAAAACCAAATAAAGTAAAGCACAAAAGTATCTTACAGATGGTCTTTAAACCACTTTCAACATATCCGGAAAACTCGCGGCCCACACTGCTTAATAAATCTCGATTAGCCATCTGCGAACAAAAAATTACAGGATGAAATATTTTTCACATCTTCATCTTTCACAGAAGCCAAACCTTCAAAAGAAAAGCTCATACCCTGGAATAGGCCTCCATGGTGGCTTTCAGCTGAGGAAAGCTTCTTGTGGCAAGGATCATGTTAAAGCAAGATTCATCTGTCCCTAGTCTCCCCTCACCAGCTTGATAGAGACGCTGTGCATCTTCTTGAGCCATTTGGTGGTTTACGCTCTGGTTTTCATCACGATTTCCCTACGAGAGGAGGCAAGAATTGGAATAAAGAAATAAAAGTTCTATTAAAAATGTTGTAGGGTCAGCTCTGTGGCCTGGTGGTTAAAGCAGCCAAATCCCAAATGGTCAACCACTCAGCTGAAGTCCCAGACCCAGTAGTTGGAGAAACATGCCAGGTACGTGAGTGTGCATGTCCAGAATCTCAAAAAGGAGGGAGAGCTAGAGAAGGAAAGACTGCGGTGTGACAAATCCAATCCCCGTGTGTGGCAAAGGTGGTTCTCTCTCTCTCTAGAAAAAAAAAAAAAGGGATTTTTGAGGTTATTTCCCTATCTAGTCACTCTGGGATTTAAAGGGACTAAATATGTCACAAATATCTTTCATTTTCAAAGAAACTTTATCAGTGCAACTAGTACTTGGTTACACTGTCAATTTTAGATTTGTAATACATAATAAGGGTTTAATGAGGTTATGTTAAAACCAGGGCTATTAGAGCTAAATTAAACCAGAATATACAAGACTAGCAGATGGCGCAGCAGTTATATCACTGAACTCCCACATGGCTGACACAATTCAAGTCCCAAGTCCTGGACTCTGAAGCCTGAAAATCATGCTGGGCAAGTGTGCGTGCACACCCAAGATCCTGAGAGGAGAATGGAAGAGAAGGGACTGTGGCATGGCCATCCCCCTAAGGGGTGATTTCTCACTTTCTGTCTTTCTCTCTTTCTGGCAAGAGTACATGCCCTATAGCAAACCCCCCGCCCCCCAAAAATGTCTCTACCAAGTCCTGGACTCTGAAGCCTGAAAATCATGCTGGGCAAGTGTGCGTGCACACCCAAGATCCTGAGAGGAGAATGGAAGAGAAGGGACTGTGGCATGGCCATCCCCCTAAGGGGTGATTTCTCACTTTCTGTCTTTCTCTCTTTCTGGCAAGAGTACATGCCCTATAGCAAACCCCCCGCCCCCCAAAAATGTCTCTACTAGGAGACGTAAACTACCATTCAAATAAAGAAATTCTAACTCTCTTTAGCTGGAATTTAAGATCGATATGCAGTACTCGATTCCACTTAGTATTCACTGTACAACTAAGACACTAAGCACTTCCTTTGTGCCAGACATTAAGCTAGGTAGTAAGGACACAAGCAATACAGGCCCCTATCCTCAAGAAATTTCAGTCTAGGGAGGGAGGATATGATAAGGAGGCTTCATGAGCTTTCTTTCATCCAAAGTATTTATTATGAATATATACATAAAAATTATGTATGAGCTCTTTAGAAGCTATAACTCAAAGTCTACAAGATTTTGCCAATCTGTAGATCGAACTCTGCTCTGGAATAGGAGAAGGAAAGAGGGAGGGAGAGGGGCTTAAACCCAGAAAAGAAGTTGGTTTCTCTCAAAAATAAAAACTCCCTAGGTTACTGCTTATGGATTCAGTAGCAAAATACAGTCCTGTTTTCCTAGAAGGCTACGCCTCTGCTCATCTGCCAGAAAAGTGTGGTGGAGCTCCAAACCCTGAATAAAGAGAAACATAAGGGACCAGCAGTAATGGCTATGTCGTTGGACTCCATTTAGTCAACCGTGGTTCGAGTCCTGGACCGGGTGGTTTAAACTCACGCCGGGCACATGTGCATGTGTGCCCAAGATCCTCAGAGGAGGATGGAGGAGAAGGGAGAAGGGATTGCGGCGTGGCCATCCCCCCTGGGGGGCGAGTTCTCACTTTCGGTCTCTGTCTCTCTCTTTGTGGCGAGCGCACCTGCCCTATAGCAAAAACCTCTCAAAAAAAAAAAAAAAAAAAAAAAAGAGAAACATAACACTGCTTATTACACCTTAATAATCCGTTTTTGTTTCTACCTTTTTCCTGCTTGTTTTTTTTTTTTTAAATTCTAACCTATTCCCCCCACACTGTTGTGATAAATTCAACTTCCTTTAGCCTATTTGCTCTCTTTCATTTCCACATTCACTCACTTTTGTACACTATCCTTTCTGCAACTCCCACCTTTGGGTCTTAAGAGCCCATCCTAGGGGCCAGCAGGTGGTATAGTGGTTAAGATGCTAGACTCCCACATGGCCAATAGCTATTCAAGTCCCAGACCTGGCAGCATGCTTTCTCATACCAGTCCCCTCTTGCATTTCTATCTCTCTCTCTGTTGAATGCACATACCCTATACCAAAAAAAATGTTTTAATAATTATTTTATTTAACTTTATTTATCCATTTATTTATTTTTAATTTGACGAGAGGGACAGAGTGTGAGAGAGAGAGAAAGTGATAAAGCAAGCTGCTAGGTCTGGGACTTGAACCATGGTCAGCCATGTGGGAGTCCAGTGCCCTTAACCACCATGCCACCTGCTGGCCCTGACCTATAGCAAATTAAAAAATAATAAATAAAACTAAGTAAGTAATTAATGGGGGGAAAAAAGCCTCTCCTCTACTTTTAGATCCCAGTTTAGATACAAAACTATATCTTGCACAGTAGCAGGCCAGTCAGTAAATCAGCATGTTACTCTTACGTGTCATTTCTTTCAAATACATCATTTCACTCTAACTGTGTTTCTAATATCATTCAAAATATCCTATTGGAGTTCAGACCAGCAGATGGCTAATGGTTACATTGCTGGACTCCCACATAGCGAACTGCTGCTTGAAACTCATGCCAGGCACCTGTGCATGTGTGCCCAAAATGCCATGATGAGAATGGAGGATAAGGGAATGAGGCATGGTCATCCCCTCAGAGGGGGGATTCCTTGTTTTCTTCCTCTCTGTCTCTACAGCAAGTGCACATGCCCTATAGCAAAAATCTCTCAAAACAAACAAAATAACCTATAGGAGTAATTTCTGTCAATTCTCCAATACATGTGGGAATTCAGACTAAGGAAGGTACTAGTCACAATATTACACTGACCCCTGAAAGATTTTTCTGCATTTCTGGCTCTCCTCACATAGTTCTCATCTCCTCTAGCACGTCTATGGCAGTTCTACATTTTTGGCTGATGCCCAACATAATGGAGGATAGTGATAAGTTTAAAATACAGTTTCATTTTTTGGGCCAGCAGGTAGTGTAGAGGTTATGGTGGCTGGACTGGACCTTAATATCCTTTTTAAGATCTCATCCAAATTCTGATTGTCAACATGGCCAATTAAAGTTCAAGTCCTGGAGCCTTGAAAATCATGCAAGGCATGTGTGCCCACAATCCTGAGAGGAGAATGGAGTAGAAGGGACTGTGGCATGGCCATCCTCCCGGGAGGAAGGGTGATTTCTCACTTTTCCTCCCTCTCTCTCTGTTGAGCATACATGCCCTACAGCAAAACTCTAAAAACAAAACAAAAGCAACAGCTTCATTCATCTAGTGACAGAATCTTAAGATGGTTTCTGATTTGGGACCAGCGGTTAGCGTAATGGTTATGTCGCTGGACTCCCACGTAGTCGACCGTGGTTCGAGTCCCAGACGCAGTGGCTTAAAACTCATGTCAGGCACGTGTGCGTGCATGCCCAAGATCCTGAGAGGAGAATGGAGAAGGGATTGCGGCGTGGCCATCCCCCCTGGGGGGTGATTTCTTGCTTTCTATCTCTCTGTCTCTGTCTGTCTGGTGAGTGCACGTGCCCTACAGCAAAAACCTCTCAAAAAAAAAAAAAAAAGATGGCTTCTGATTCCAACAACTCTAAAGAGGTTACTCTGATTCTTTACAAAAGCCAGATCTGTAGAAATCCCAATAGTAACAACAAAGAAATGTGTATATTAGATTCCACGTAGCCCCTCTTAAAGATGGCAATATTCCAAGGGGGATAAATAGTAAAAGGAATAAAGAATGCTCACTGGCAATAGGCAATAAGAAAAAAGTTCCTTCCACCAACACTCCATGCTCTACTCACCTGGCACATGGATACAAGTAAACGTTCAAAATGTCCTGATGTATCAGACCTAATATCCTTTTCAAGATCTCGTCCAAATTCTGATTGATAACATCTGACAATTTCTCGGATTTCCTGATTTGTTCTTGTGCATAAAATCTCGATTAAGACACGTTCCTGAGTTCCTACACCCTATAAAAAAAAATAGGAGGAATTATACCAAAAAACTCACAAAAAAGTCTCTGAAAGTAATTAAATCTTAACTGTTCTATCACATATTTCTTTGTCCTCTAGGACAGGAAAAGCTGCATATATTCAGATGATATGAAATAGTATCCGACTTTAAAGTATCTCTATAAATTCAGAACCACCATAATCTGGGGAATCTTATATAATAAAATAGGATAAATATTCAAAATAAATGACAAATAGTACCTGCATTGCATTCCGTAAACTCCAGGCATCATAATAGGTAGGTGGCATGAACAGGGCAAGGATCAGTTCTTCCATGTTTCCACTTAATTCTGATTTGAGATCTTTGATTAAATCCTGTTTAATTACAAATGCAAGCTAAGTTTGTGTGCTCTCCAAATTTTGTTGCCTTCATCTTTTTTTTTTTTTTAGTTTAGTTTATTCTTTCTTACATGAGAGAGAATGCTCTCCTAACAGGGTCTTCGTACTGTATCGACTCCTAGTTAGCCAAAATCCTGGGCACAAACATGAACACCGAGTGTGCACAGGGAGACCTCGGGTTACAACAGGGAACCTTCCTATGTGGCCTCAGCATCACGGAGGATTGCTCTACCACTACACCACCACCGATAGCCTGTTACTTAAATCTTTTTGGGAAAAATGAAATGGAACTGTTTTACAAATACCTAAATTTCAAATCTGAATATTACATACCGAGAAGTAAATATATAGTTTGTTACCTCAAGCACATATATTTTTTCTCAAACACAATTTCTTCACATTTACATCCTTACTGCAGCTTTACCACTCCAGACACAAATATAAGATTTACATGAAACAAAGAATAATTAAACTTAACAAAACAATAATTAGATATTAACTTAGTATAAGAAACTATTCTTGGTTTTAAGAGGAAATCGAAATTATCATCTTGTTCTTATTTAGAAAACCAGGATAAACATCTAAAACAAGGTAATATAAGGCAATCTGTATGCTAGCAGCAGGTAAGCAGCAAAGAAATAACAGAAAAAGTTGAAAAAAGAAAAAACTTTAACGTGGGCTAAAGAACTCAGAGAAAGCTTTTAGTCCAGAAGAAGCACAAATAAGAAAAGGGACGGGGTTCTTAGCCTAAACTATGCATTAAAATCATCTGTAGCGCCTCAAAAAAGGAAAACAAAACAAAACAAAACACATTGATGCCCAGAACTAAGACTCAGTGATTTCATATGTTTTTAAGTTAAAAAGAGATTATGATGTTCAGGTAAGGCGGATAATCACTAGTAAAGAGATAACTGGTCAATAGAATAATAAGACAAGTTAGTGAAAAAGGTTTTCATAGTAAATTAATAAACAAAATTGTAACAAAATCTTATATTATTACCTTGAATGTCAACCTAACAAAGGTAGACTTGTTAGGAGGAGCTACGAGAAACCTTTATGCCCTTTATGCAAAAAAACGGCATTGATATGCATGCAAGATGCAAGATGGACTACAGTGATTAACAGCTATAGGTGGAGAACATTTAGGTTGCTGGGATATTTAGATAAGAAATAAAGGGGGACCAGCAGGTGGCATGGTGGTCAAGGCACTGGACGGACACACGGACGGACAGACGGGGACACACACACACACGGCCAACCATGGGTTGAGTCCCAGACCTAGTGGCTTGCTTTCTCACTTTCCCTCTCTCTGTGTGTCTTTCTCTGATCAAACTAAAATAAATGAATGAATAAATAAACAATTCTTTAAAAATAAATAAATAAATAAAACTAGGGGGCCAGCAGATGGTGTAATGGTTATGTTGTTGAATTCCCACATGGCCAACTGCGATTCAGACCCAGTGGCTTGAAACTCTCAATGGGCACATGTGCATCCATGCCCAACATTGTGGGAGAAGACTGGAAGAGAAGGGATTATGACATGGCCACTCCCCTTGGGTAGGTGATTTCTCAATTTCCTTCTCACTGTCTCTCTCTCTCCAGCAAGTGCATGCAACCCTATGGCAAAATCCTCATCAATCAATCAATCAATCAATCAATTGATCTAGGTAAATAAACAATTGTTAGGACAAGGAAGACCTGGCATACAGTAAGCACTGACCAAATATTCATTATTAATAAAAAAGAACATGAAATCAAAGATGATTCCACAGCTGGTTAGAAAAGTAATTTAATTGCTAGGAGGTGTATGCGCTTACCAGAGAAACAAAGTCTCTATCCACCGCAGTATGGTCATACAACAACACTTCCTTCTTCCATTTCCCTATCCTATCAGGATTTTTGGCTTTCAAGCAATTCACTCAGCGTCTTTGAAGCCACGGGGCCAAAATTTGAATCACGTTCAGCCATGTGGGATCTGGCCTCCAATGTATAGCACTTAACTACTTACTATGAGGCCGGCCCTACAATAGCATTTTTTATTAATTCATAGAAAACCAAGAGAGGAGGTAGCTGGGAATAACAAAGTCTAAAGCAATATACGAGAAAATTCAAAACATCATAGCACAGACTAAATGTTTACAACATGGAAAATGCCTTTTGAAGAAAATGAGTCTGATGTTGAGTATGAAGAGAAAGCTAGGGTTTGTGTCACATAATCAGTTTTAAGACAAAAGAAGTGGATCTGGAATGGGCAAAGAAAAGCAGAGTAGAATGGGAAAAGTGAGATTAATTAATGGATAGCTCCTCATTCTGAGAAAAGCAAACTGGATGCTTGGGACATTAGGAAATGTTTAAATGGCAAACCAATGCTGCCCAGTTTTCCCAATATTGGGGGAGAACAATGGCACTTTTAGCTATGAAGTCTTGCTGGCTTTAGTAACTAATTATCCATTTAACAAATATTTATTAATGCTACTTGTCACTGTACACTTGGTGCTACTGATACAAAGATGAATATGACAAAGTTTGTCCTAGGGGAGCTCAGTTTCAGGAGTGGGAAGTGAGATTAGCAACAGAGGTTTACAAAGTACTATGGGACCACAAGGGAAAAGGCAGCTAAATTCTACCCACAGCAGTGAGAGAAACTTCAGAGAAGCTGATATCTAACCCAAATATCGAGACAGTTGTTTCCAACACAGAAAAAAAAGGAAAAGGCTTTGTAGGTCAAGAGAACAACACGTCTTCGCTTATTCATGCACGTACTCTTTAATATTAAGAAGCGAAAAATATCATGGTGTGTGCAGAGAATCCTAAGTAGTTCCATGTAACTGTAAGACAGAATATGTTTAGAGAGAGGGAAGTAGATGATGTTGCCAAGGACCAAGAATAAGCAGGGACTACGTAATAAGCCTTGAATTCCACTGCAAGGAGATTGAGAATTAAACTCTTGATCATGGTTGTGGTCATAATCTACTTCCTACTAAACAGCTAGTGCATAAAAGACACAGAACAAAGTATGATTGTGAGTTCGAGGACTAGCCTAGAATTACAAAGTCTTTTAAGAGAAATAGTGACTATTCGACTCCTGAGGTTTCTGAAGTCTAGTGGTCTCTCCTTTATATCATAGGTACTAACAAAAAAGAAGTAGCCAATCTGACATGAATGCCGTCTGCAGGCCATAGTGCTCACTCTAGAGAAGAAAAAAGCATGTACCTTGCCATACATGGTCTTAAATGCTGCTTTGATTTTTTGCCTCTGGTCATTGGATCGGTTGGCCACAACATCCACAATAGCCTGCTCGTCTGTCCCTGGAAGAACCACACATGTTTAAGGAGGACAAAGTCTGTGCTGAGGCTCCTTTAGGTTATCTCTTAAAATGGTTACAAGGCACTAGGAGCCAGATGAAGCAAGTGTGTGCACAAAGACTGACACAAAAACTTGGCATATGACATAAGGTTTATTTGTACTTTAAAACCAATCACTTTAAATTAGAAAACGCTGTTTTCCTTACCAAACCCCTTCATTGCTTTACGGAGAATTTCTGCATCTCTCATGGCATCAAAGTTGGCAGCTGGACGGATTGTTCCCTGATTCATCACAGCAGGCTGAGAATGAAACACATAAAATCCATGTCAGGATTCTTGCTCATAAAAAAAAAAAAAAAA